GGGCTCTGTGTGCGGGGAAGCTGCGGAAGGGCTGGGCTGAGACTACCCAGGTCTGAGGATGGGGTGCTGCTGCCCGTGTGCGGAGGGGCGCGGGGTCGTCTGGGTTCGGATCCTGATGGCCGCGGTCCCCTGCCCCGGCAGATGGGAACGGCGCTTCCCGGGCTGAGCGTGGCGGCAGTCTGCACGGACCCGCGCCCCTGAACCCCGGGAAGAGCCTCTGCCCACCTGCGTTCTGCGGCGCCTCGGGGGCCTCCGCACCGCAGCAGCCCAGGCCAGCGAGGCGGCGGGGCGAGGATGCTGGCGGCAGTGCTGGGCAGCGGCCCTCGGGGCCGGCCTTCCCTGCGGCGGCTCCTGGGACCCACGCTCTCGCCGAGGGCCCGCTCCACTTCTGCCACGGACACCCACCATGTGGAGATGGCGCGGGAGCGCTCCAAGACCGTCACCTCCTTCTACAACCAGTCAGCCATCGACGTGGCGGCCGAGAAGGTGCGCCGCCAAGGGGCCAGCGGTTGTGGGTGTCCAGGGAGCGGGTGGAACGAGGCGGCGCGGGTGGGTGCGCAGGCCCTGGCCTCAAGGTCTGTCTGCCCCTCCAGCCCTCAGTGCGCCTCACTCCAACCATGATGCTTTATTCCGGTCGCTCTCAGGACGGCAGCCACCTTCTGGTAAGATTCCTGTCCCTTCTTTTCCCCAGAGCTCCTGGAGCTCTGGCCCGCCACTCAGGCCCGGGCCCTGCCCTCCCTCTGTGTCTCACAGAAAAGCGGCCGGTACCTGCAGCAAGAGCTACCAGTAAGGATCGCTCACCGCATCAAGGGCTTCCGCAGCCTTCCCTTTATCATCGGCTGCAATCCCACGATCCTGCACGTGGTAAGGTGGAAGCCGGAGGGGACCCTAAATCCCGGTGTGCACGGCCCCTTAGATGGAGAGCCTACGGCCCAGAGTGGGAAAGCCTTGCCTGCTGAAAGGGGTCAGGCTATGTGGGATTCGGCCCCAAGCCTTTGGAGGCCAAGGGCACAAATTCATGGACGCTGAAAGGTCACACTGGGGGCTTACACCATTGGAAAGTGGGTTGGGTGGTGATACCCACAGCTATGCCTGAGTAGCGCTTCTCGGCCCATTGCCCCTGGCAGCCTTGTGGAACCCAGTACTTTTCCTTGCAGCATGAATTGTACATCCGTGCCTTCCAGAAGCTGACAGACTTCCCTCAGGTGAGGCTGGGCCAAACGGGGTGAGGGGCTGAGAGATCAGGGCTGGCTCACCTGTGCTCATGACTCTGCCCTGTAGATCAAGGACCAGGCGGATGAAGCCCAGTATTGCCAGCTGGTGCGACAGCTGCTAGATGACCACAAGGATGTGGTGACCCTCTTAGCCGAGGGCCTGCGTGAGAGCCGCAAGCACATACAGGTCAGAGCAGTCAAGCACCTGAAGTGGGGGGCTGGGCAGGGCACAGCGTTACTGAGGCCCCATTCTACAGGATGAAAAGCTTGTCCGCTACTTCTTGGACAAGACACTGACTTCAAGACTTGGGATCCGCATGTTGGCCACCCATCATCTGGCACTGCATGAGGACAAGGTGAGGTTCCAGGAGAGAAAACGTGGGCAGGGGTCTTCTAGGTATGGGGACCTGGGCCCAGGGCCTGGAAGAGAGGCTGCTTTGGCAGCCAGAGTGGGGAGAGAGGGCTCGCTAGTCTTGACCTTCTTTCTCCTGCCAGCCTGACTTTGTTGGCATCATCTGCACTCGCCTGTCACCAAAGAAGATTATTGAAAAGTGGGTGGATTTTGCCAGGTGAGGCGGTCATGGGTAACTCTTAGGTCTGAGTATGGCAGGGTTTCTGTGTGTGTGTGTGTGTGTGTGTGTGTGAGAGAGAGAGAGAGAGAAAGAGAGAGAGAGAGAGACAGAGACAGAGACAGAGACACAGAGACAGAGACATCTCCAGATAAAAGATCTCTTTTCTTTTTGAGATGAAGTTTGAGGTTGGCTTTCAGTGTGGGCTCCTGCCTTAGCCTCCTGAACAGACATGCTAAGCCTGATCAGTCCTTGTAGTGTGCATGTCAGGATGCTTTTGTAAGACCCATCTCCTGCTCACTTGATCCTAGTAATGATCCCCGATGTGACAAGTAAAAAAATATCCAGGGGCCAGGGAGACAGCTCAATGGCTTAAGCACCTGCCTGGCAAGTGGCAGATCCACCAAGTGTGCCTAAGGAGAGCAAAACCGCTGCTAGGTGAGGATTGCTACTCTAAGGGCACCAGTCTAAACCCTTCTCTGATCCACAGACGCCTGTGTGAACACAAGTATGGCAATGCCCCCCGCGTCCGCATCAATGGACACGTGGCCGCCCGCTTCCCCTTCATCCCTATGCCGCTAGACTATATTCTGCCCGAGCTGCTCAAGAATGCCATGAGGTAGGCAGACTGGATGTGGTGGGTGGGAACAGACAGAAACTAGGGTGTCACTACCTACTATCTTTCCCTCTTGCACAGAGCCACAATGGAGAGTCACCTAGATACTCCCTACAATGTCCCAGATGTGGTCATCACCATCGCCAACAATGATATCGATTTCATCATCAGGTTTGCCCAGTGGAGTTGGGCTGGGGTGGAGGGCAGCAGTTCCGGGCACTGGTTCTGGGTCACAGTGGGACCTTGAGCTAGTACCTGCCTCACTTTGGAACTTGGGCCCTGGTCAGAAGAGTCTCTGGTCCTGAGATTGCCAGGATCTGCACACTAGTGGATTCAGGGCCAGCTGAGGGCCCCGCGAGCACTCTGCCTCTGCCAGCAAGGGGGCCTGGAAACCAGTCATTGAGGCTGGGCTGAGGATAAACACCAGCAGTGTAAGCAGTCAGTGGCCCACACAGAGGTAGGGATGGAGAGAGGCAGTGTGAACACACAAGGCTCCAGGGTTGAGATGCGCTATGTTCTGCCTTTGCGTGGAAGGAGCAGGAAGTCAGACCTAGCCCTGTCTGTTTGGGAGGTAGTGAGACCCCATAAACCAAGGCCAAGCCCATGTTGTCAACATCCTGCCAGGATTTCAGACCGGGGTGGAGGAATTGCACATGCTAACTTGGAGCAAGTCATGGATTACCACTTCACTACGGCGGAGGCCAGCACCCAGGACCCCCGCATCAGCCCCCTCTTTGGCCATCTGGACATGCACAGTGGCAGCCACTCAGGACCCATGCATGGGTGAGGCCCTGCCTGGCCAGGCTTGGGGTGGGGGTGATCCCAGGAGACTCGAGCCTCTGAAGCCTCCTGTCCTGCCTGTCCCTCTGCCCTCAGCTTTGGCTTCGGGTTGCCCACGTCAAGGGCCTACGCAGAGTACCTCGGCGGTTCCTTGCAGCTGCAGTCCCTGCAGGGCATTGGCACAGATGTCTACCTGCGCCTCCGCCACATTGATGGCCGGGAGGAAAGCTTTCGGATCTGATCCCTGGCCTGCTTGCTTGCCCAGGCTGGGCCACACACCCTGCCAGGACCTTCTGGGTTGGGCACGCTGGCCCTCTGCCCCACACAGTGCTGCCTCTTGGGTCTTTGGGCCCCAGCCAAACAGATTTACACAGAGCCAGGTGCCACTCCTCAGCAGTGCCCACTGGCTCCTAACCTCCAGGCATGGAGGGGAAGAGGTGGGATCTCTGGGACTCTAGCACCTGCTGTCATTCTTGTTCCTGGGGAACCCCTATGTGGCCTGCTGTTTGTTATTAAAGTTCACATTCTGAATGCCTTCTTGGGCCCTGTCTGAGGGGAGGGGAGGGGAGCTTCTGTTTCTGCCCTTTCAGGTTTCCTGGGTCCTTGGCCTTAAGTGGTTCATGTCCTAATCTCTGACTAACCTGACTGCCTGGCAGACAGGAATATAGAATTGGCTCCAAGTCTTGCCTGTTTTATCTGGCAGGAAGGGAGGTGACTTTGGCAGTTTATGCAAAGATTTTTTTTTTTTTTTTTGTCTTTTTTAAGATAGGGTTTTTGGTGTGCAGTTCAGGCTGGCCTTGAGCTCACTTTGTAGCCCAGGCTGGTCTGGAACTCCTGTCTTTGCCTCAGTTCTTGAGTGCTGGGATTGCAGGCATGTGCCACTATGCCCAGCTATACAAAGATCTTTTGTTAATCTAATTTAATGGATGTTTTTGCGTCCCAGACAGTGTTGGAGGCCAGGGTGGGCCCAGCTTCAGGCTCTGTTTCTGACTCTTCCCTTCCTGGCAGTTACAGGTTTTAGACATGAAGGTCACCAGCCTGGGCCACCTGATTCCTGAGCCTAAGACGGGTTAAAAATACTGCCTGCCAGCTGCCAAGAAAAGGAACATACAAGGTTGTGCCCTGGCAGGCCCAGCAGAGACTTGAATGCCCCACAAGAGAAGGGCACGCCCTGGCAGGGAGAGGAACTCCAGAAAAGAAAAGGACTCCAGACAGCAGGTGGGCTGAGGACTAGATCTGAGGGAGGACTTCTTGTGAGAACTCCAGGTAGCATCTCAGTAGGGAACACCCTACTCACCTTGTCAGAGACAGAGGCCTGAGGACCTGCTTAGTGGGATCTGAGAGACACTCCAATTGTTTTCTGGAGGGCAAATGACAGTTAAGAAGCCATGATGCTTTGTTATGTTGACAGTTTGTTGGACGCAGCAGAAAGAGGTGCAATTGGAAAGATGAACAGGAAGTAGAAGATACAGGGCCTTCTCCTGGAGGTAGAAAGGATCCACAGACGGGTTTTAAGCTAGAAAGGGATGTTTCATGGGCTGGTGAGATGGCTCAGTGGTCTAAAGCACCTACTTAGAACAAGCTTAGCAAAGCACAGGAACCGCGGTTCAATCCCCCAGCACCACATGCCAGCCAGCCCCGCCCCCTGGTGGGCTGAGCTGGCCACACACACACACACACACACACACACACACACACAAAATTGGGAAAAAAAAAAAAAAAAAGGGATGTTTCAGGTTGGGCTGCCTAGAATCCAACTTTGAGAAACTTACAAATAATGGTAAATGGTTGGGGATATAGCTCAGCAGCAAGGTCCTGAGTTTGATTCCCGGTATGGCAAAAAAAAAAAAAAAAAAAGGTAAAGAAAGTGCTTCCAAGGCCAGGCATAGCATGCCTGTAATCTCAGCACTTGGGAGTCTGAGGCAGGAGGATCACTGGGAGTTCAAGGTCAGCCTGGGCTACAAAGTGAGCTCAAGGCCAGCTGGAACTGTGCAGTGAGACCCTGTCTCAAAGAGACAAAAAAAAAAAAAAAAAAAAACGTGCTTCCAGATGGCAGTGTGGGAAGTGGGAAACAGAAGGGGGAAAAACCAAACAAGGATGTGATCTTAGATACAAGTTCTGTGGCAGGGGCTCGGGTGTGGCTGAGTGGTCCAGTGCTTGCCTAGCCAGCGCTTGAGGAATGTTAAAGATAGGTAGTCCTGCATACAGAAACAACAAAAAAGGGACCTGACTGCAGCCCTACACAGCGCTGGGAGCACCAGTCAGATTTACATGTTGGAACCACTGGTGGCCACTGGATTGGCGAGAGCACAGCAAGCAGCTGATGCAGTGACCCTGAGCAGGGATTTATAAAGCCTAGGCTAATCCTGCACTAGAAAGGATCTCATCTGTAACCAGAGATGTCAGGTGAAGTACAGGGTGAGGCAGAAGAACCCCAAGTGAGTGAAGTAAAAATTCTGAAGATAGGGTACAATGTCTAGCACTTACCCTCCATCCCCAGCTCCATTTCCCAAAACTAGGTTAGCAGCTCCTCCCACTGCCAGGAAGTCAGGTATTTCCTGAACTGTAATCTCTGAGCCCCAGCTCCAGGCCCTAAGTGGTCTACCCTTAGAATTGTTCAGAAGCACCACAGCCAAATTACAAATCAAAACTCTTGTTTGTAGTGCTGGGTTTCAAACTCCGGGCCTTGTGTAAGAAAGGCAAGGGCAGAACCAGGGAGATGGCTCAGTGGAACAAGTGTTTGCCTGGCAAGCGCAGTGGCCTGAGTTCAATCCCCAGTTCCACTGAGGGGGAAAAAAAAGGCAAGGGCTCTACCACTCAGCCACATCCCCAGCCCCCAAATAACTTAACAATGGCTAAAGGAAAACTTTAATCAAATACATACTCAGCCTGGTATTATGCCACACGTTTCCAGCCCTCTGACATCACTGTTGGTTTGGGATAGGGTTTCACTGTGTAGTTTAGGCTGGCTGTGAACTCACTATATAGCTCAGACTGACCTTGAATTTGTGATCCTCCTGCCTCAGCTTCCCGAGTTCTGGGATTATAGGCATGTGATACCACACCTGGCCTCTCTATCCCTTTTTACTTATTTTTGGTACTGGGGATCTTGTGCTTGCCAGGCAGGAAATTAAGTCTCTGAGTTATCTCTCCAACCCTTTTTGTTTTAAGATGGTTTCCTAAGTCACTACATTGCTCAGTCTGGGCTAGAACTTGTGATCCTCCTTTCTCGGCTTCCCACCATCCTTGGAATACAGGCATGTGCCACCACACCTGGCTGGGAAATAACTCTATTAAAGCTAGCTGACTAGGGCCTGGAGAGATGGCTCAGTGGTCTAAAGCACCTACTTAGAACAAGCTTGGCAAAGCACGGGGACTGCGGTTCGATCCCCCAGCACCACATGCCAGCCAGCCCCCCCCCTCCCCCGTGGGCTGAGCTGGCCACACACACACACACACACACAAAATAAATGTTAAAAAAAAAAGCTAGCTGACTAGAAGATTACAGCAATTCTGGGGCAGCCTGTAAGAAATGAGTGGCACCTGGCAAGCGCAAGGGGCTTAGGAGAATAAAAGCTTCCCTGGCCAGCATAAGGGCCTGAGTTCAATCCCTGGTTCTGCAAAAAAAAAAAAAAAAAAACCACACAAAAAACCAACCAACCAAGGAGGATGCCTTATAGGCACTCCTGAACACGCCTGTCCTTTCCCCACCCCGACTGTATCTTTTTCCAACCCTAAACAAGAGGCGCGGTTTTTTTCAATTTACTACTAGTTATTACGAGGACGCAGTGGGTAAAGCAGGGCGGGGATAGGGGTTGCTAATTCAAGGCTCAACCCAGTGCCAGGCGACCGGGGAAGACTTTCAGATTCCACCTGTTAGAGGACAGAGGCTCTGAAAACTGACGCATCTTGGCTTCCACAGCATCAGACCTTTAAAATTTGTTGAGAAGTGTCATCACATCAGAAAAGTCTGTCTCCACTACTCTAGTGTAAAAAGCAGTACTACCATACCGAAAACGAAGTCAAGCCACTCCTGGGTTCACCTCCCAGAAGCCGCAGCGCCAGAGCGGGCGTCCAGGACCTATAAGCTTCTGCTACGTCACAGACCCACCCACAAGCCTTGCCCCGCCCCAAAACTGACCCGGAGCTGAACAGCGCGGCGCCGGAGTCTAACGTCACTTCCGCCACCGCCATGGCGGCACAGGGGGCAGCTGCGGCAGTTGCAGCAGCGACTTCGGGGGTCGTAGGAGAGGGCGAGCCCGGCCCTGGGGAAAATGTGGCAGTCGAAGGAACCGCCCCATCCCCGGGCCGCGTCTCTCCGCCGACGCCAGCACGCGGCGAGCCAGAAGTTACGGTGGAGATCGGAGAAACGTACCTGTGCCGGCGGCCGGACAGCACCTGGCGTGAGGCGGGGCCCAGTGCTTAGGGGCGGGGCTGCGGGGTGGGCCCTGAGGACGGGTCCTCTGGAGGGCCGAGCGCAGGGGGTTGGGCGTCCCGGCCGCGAGGGCGGAGACTCGAGGAAAGGCGGAGTTGCGGATCCTGAGAAATCCGACTGGTAATGGAAGGCTATCACCTGTACGCTATGTTGGGCACCACCTGCAAAGAGCCACCAGACAGGCGATCATCAAAATTTTGTTGTACAGGGGCCGAGGAGATGGCTCAGTGAAATGAGCACTTCTCTGGCAAGCGCAAGGGCCTGAGTTCAATCCCCGGTTCCGCAAAAAAAAAAAAAAAAAAAATGTGTTGTACTACAGCTCGCCCATTGCCCTTCCCCTAGTGTTAGGCTTCGTTATCTTTTTTGCTATCCTTGCTTACTCAGAGGTTTCTAGGCTCCGTGCCTTTCCTTTCTGTCGTTTCCTATGGCGACAGCAAAGAGGGTATGACTGCACAAAAACAGATTTCCTCTTACATTCTATCATCTTCAAAATAAAGGCCTATCTCTTTAGAGTGCTGTTAATTTCTGTGACTCAATCCTAGCCGCCTCACAAAGGCCATTGCTAGACCAGAACCCGCTGTGTATTCATTTTATATATAATATTACCACATTCCCTCCGCTTGGAATATCATGTATAGCTTCTCCTTATCCTTTGAGTTTCATCCTTTATAATACCATGTTGACCGCCTTCAGACAGAGTGAGTTCTTGTCTGTATGTTCCTGCAACATTTGCTTCATACCTCAGCGGTGGTACGTGTGGCATTATGTTGTAATTTTCTGTGTCTTCCTCTGTTAATCTGGGAACTTCTGGAGGGCGAGAGTTCTGATTCACTTCTATGTCCTCAGTGTCCAGCGCTGACAGCGTAGCGGCAGACAGGCAGTGCTTCCCTTATTCGTGCATCATATGATCTGCTAGTTTGTCCCATTTGGAGTAAAAATTTTGGAGATATTAACTCAGTCTTGAGGTGGGAATTATTACCCTGATGTAGAAAAGGAGGCTCAGGAAGTCAAAATAACCCACTCAGTTACATATGGGGAGCAAGAAATATATTCACTCAGACTGTTTCCCCTTTTTTTTTGGTACCAAGGATCGAATTCAGGACCTTGCCCTTCACAGGCAGGTGCTTATGCCACTGAGCTATATCTCCGGCCTCATTCAGCATCAGCCTTCATGTCCTTCAAATAGATGACTTGAGTGTGTAGTGAGATGAGTGTGAATTTGGAGTCAGAATTTACTTATTTATTTATTTATTGTGGTACCAGGGATTGAACTCAGGCCCTTGTGCTTGCCAGGCAAGCGCTTATTCTACTGAGCTATCTCCCCAGGCTCCTGAGCTATCTCCCTGGGCCCCTGGAGTCAGATTTAAAACTCAGTGAAGTATTTGTTCTCCTCATTTTTCAAATCTGTGATTCTTGATAAGCCTTATGTTTTTTCTCATTGGTCAAATAAGAGTAACAACGTGGCCCATCTCACAAGGTTGTAGCAACTCTGGTTATGGGCAGATTTATCTGGAAATCTGGAAACTAGTCCTCAGTATGTCGGATTCCTCTTATTTTAACCCTTTCTCCCTGATGATCCTAGTCTTTTTCCTTCACAGATTCTGCAGAAGTGATCCAGTCTCGAGTGAATGACCAGGAGGGCCGAGAGGAATTCTATGTACACTACGTGGGCTGTGAGTGCTCTGGGGCCTTGAGCCCGGGCAGGGGCGGGGGATGGGGAGGTAGGGTAGGACCCTCATGGCCCATCTTAACAGTTAACAGGCGACTGGATGAATGGGTAGACAAGAACCGACTGGCACTGACCAAGACCGTGAAGGACGCAGTGCAGAAGAACTCAGAAAAGTACCTGAGTGAGCTGGCTGAGCAGCCTGAGCGCAAGATCACTCGCAACCAGAAGCGCAAGCATGATGAGATCAACCATGTGCAGAAGGTCTGGGCCCCCTTCCCTGGGACCCAGGTGGTCCTGCTGCCTCTGCCAGCTTCCTTAGGCCTAGGCCCAGACCACAGCAGCTCTTCTATTTTTTAAGTTCTTAGAGTGTGTCTCTCCTTTACTGTTTACAGGTCAGAAAACTTAGACTCAAAGAGGGAAAGGGGTTGCTACAGTCCCACAATAAGAGATGGTGCAGCAAGGCTAGAGCTCCTGCTCAGATAACCTCTTTTGATTCCCTTTTTTTTTTTTTTTGGTGGGGGCAACCGGGGATTGAACTCAGGCTCTTGTGCTTGCCAGGCAAGCACTTATTCTACTGAGCCATCTCCCTGGCTCCAAGGCCAGGGATTTAGCTCAGTGGCATAGTTCCTGGAAAGTGTAAGGTCCTGACCTCATTTCCTGGTACCCCCCGCCAAAAAAAAAAAAAAAAAAGAAAGAAAGAAAGAAAATGAATAATAGATACCTGGCTATTGCCAAGTACTAAACTATACATGTATATGCTCATCAAATAATTCGTACCATAAGGGAAATGACATTTTTGTGAATGAGGAAGCAAGCTCAGAGAGGTTGAGTAATATGCCCATGGTCACACAGCTAGTAAAAAGGTGGGCTGGAATTAGAATAATTATCCTTAACATTATTGGTGTCTGAGCCAAAGTATTAGGCCAAATGTTTTAGTGTATGATCTCACTAATGTTTCACACCAACCCTATGATGTCAACATGGTTATCAACAGTTTATAGAGAAGGCAGATAGGTAGGAATCCAGTATTAGATCTGCCAGCTAGATCAGATGTCTGGGCTCTTAACTATAATTTTGGTGCTTATGTTTTTGTTTGAGACAGGGTCTTGAGGTATAGCCCAGGCTAGCCGTAAACACATGTCAATCCTCCTGCTTCAACTCCTTAGTGCTGGGGTTACGGGTATGTACCACCACACACCCAGTTTAACCATGATTTTGACACATATCCAAAACATATCCCAAGCCCAGATTCTTGCTGGGTGTGGTGGACATGCCTGTAATCCTAGCAGGAGGAGGCTGAGGCAGGATTGCTGGTTTTTTTTTGTTTTGTTTTGTTTTGTTTTTTTAAGAGAGAAGATTGGAGCCTGGGAGATGGCTCAGTAGAGTAAGCACTTCCCTGGCAAGCACAAGGTTCTGAGTTCAATCTCTGGTTCTGCCAAAAAAAAAAAGAGAGGGGCCAGGGAGATGACTCAGTAGGGTAAGCACTTGAATGGCAAATGCAAGGATCTGAGTTCAATCCCCGGTTCCGCAAAAAATAAATAAATAAATAAATAAATAAATAAATAAATGAGAGAGAAAGAGAGGATTGGTTTTTGTTTTTTTTTTTTGCAGAACTGAGGATTGAACTCAGGCCCTTGCGCTTGCCATTCAAGTGCTTACCCTACTGAGCCATCTCCCTGGCCCTGAGGATTGCTATTCTTGAGGCCAGCCTGTACTTCATGTTGAGACCCTGTCTCACAAATACCAAAAATAAATAAAAGAGCTGGGGTGGTACTTTACTGTGAAAGCCCTGGCTTCAGTGCTTAGTATGCACAAAACAGACACAATAAAACAGCCCAGGCTCTTTGTTGTTTTTCTTTAAGAAATTGTAATATTAAAATGCAGGCTGGGCGTGGTGGCGCATACCTGTAATCTCACCACTCAGGAGGCTGAAGCAGGAGGATCATTGCAAGTTTGAGACCAGCCTGGGCTACACAGCTCAAGGCCGGCCTGAACTACATAGCAAGACCCAGTCTCAAAAAGACAGGAAGAAAACTACAGTGCGTAGGATTTGCAGTACTTAGGATTACATTCATGGGGAGGCGTTGGTCTGTTTTCACAGTGCATCTTCTTTGTTCTTCTCACTGAGTTTGATTGCACCCAGAAGGTTCCTTTCCTTCTGCTCTGAGCCTCAGTTTCTTCATTTATAAGGTGAGGAACACAAACTGAAGCAGGATTTAGTGAGCTTGAAGGCGCTGAGCAATCACAGTTCCATATGGTAGTTTCACCTTGATGTTTTCCAACCGTGAGACACAGCCTCAGTACAAAATGAAGCTAGTGGGTGTGGCCAGCATTTACATTTTGAAAATATATAAAGGAGGGGCTGGGGAGGTAGCACAGTAGACTAAGTGCTTGCCTGGCAAGCGCAAGGACCAGAGTTCAATCCCCTTTTACGCCCCCCCAAAAAGGAAATGGGTTAAGAGAAAACATCCGAGTGTATCACACTCTTCTAAGGGTAAGTATTGTGCTGAGAAGCTCCTGCCTCACATGCACATTGTGGCTGTTTATGCAAGAATGTGTAACTGGTTTACAGTGCCTGCTACACTTTGTACTGTGCATATGATTAAATAAAACCCAACAACTTAAAATACACTGTTAGAAAGATCCTTCGAGAAAAAAAAAAATGCTCCTTCAGAGGTCTAAGGTGGCACTGTTCAGTTGGAGTTGCTGTACAATGGCAGTGTTCTGTGGCTGCTCTGCAGTATGGGCATCATTGTCGTGTGTGGCTGTGGGATACTTGAAATATATCTAGTGTGAATAAAAATTAAGTGTTTTTTTGTTTTTGTATTTTAGGACATGCTCTATAGGGTCTCACTACTAGATCCGGACTAGTAGTGATTCTCTTTGTTTTCAGCCTTCCAAGAGCTGGGATTACAGGCATGTGTCTCCACGCCCAGTCTCTCAAAGTCTCAGTGTGCCCTGGGGACAGGGCTGGTGATCAGACCCCCCCACACACACATCTGCCTAAACAAGTGCTTTAATCTGAGCTGTTTGGCTGGCCCAAATGTTTATTTTTTATTCTCTCTTTTTTTTTTCCCCCTCTTGTAGCGGGGATTAACTCATTACCTTGCACTTGCCAGGCAAGCGCTTATTCTACTGAGCTATCTCCCTGGCCCCCAAATGTTTATTTTTTAAAAGCTTAATATTTATTGGGTTTTTTTTTTTTTTGAGATAAACTCTCATGCGGTTCAGACCAACCTCAGCCTCACTATAGCCTGTGCTGCCCTCAGACTTGGAGTGATCCTCCTGTCATAGCCTCCCAAGTGCTGGGATTATAGGTGTGGCCCATCAGACCCAGCAGAAATAAATTTATAAAGCTTTAATTTAGGGGCCTGGGGAGATGGCTCAGTAGAATAAGTGCTTGCCTGGCAAGCACAAGGGCCTGAGTTCAATCCTCAGTGCCAGAAAAAAAAAAAGTTAAATGATATACTTATTTATTTTCTACCAAAAAATCACATATACATATTTTAAGGAATGGTTAAGGAAAAAAAAAAAAAAAAAAAAAAAAAAAAAATTGAAAAGCTGCCTGTGATTGCTGGCTGCTCTTGTGCACAGCAGAAGTCTAAGGTCCTGTCAGTTCCCCAACTAGTTTGCATTGAATAAAGATGTCCCTCTAAACTGGTAATTAGCTGGCTCGATGGCCCTGGGCCAAGCAGTGGTGACATCAGGCAGTGGCTGGGGGTGCTGGTGTATGCCCTGGAACCACAGCCTAGACACTTAGCTGAGACCCTGTTTCAAAACAAAATCTACAAAGATCTGGGCTTGTAGCCAGTGTGGTGGTCCTGGGTGTGATTTCCAGTACTACAAAAATTTAAAAAGAATGAATAATAGAGTGTTGGTGCACACTAACCTAATCCGGAGGCTGAGGCGGGGTGATTGCAAGCTCAAAGCCAGCTTGGGCCCCTTCAACCCTGTCTCAAAAAAACAAAAGGAAGAAGGAAAAAAAAGACAAAAAGAGCTAGAGGTGTAGCTTTATATAGAGCACTTAGGTAGCATGCACAGCCCCTGGGTTCAGTCCCTGGTACTGAAACAAACAGGAAAAGGGGTAATGATTAACAGAGTTGTAATTCATAGTTTGCTTTATGTTTAATTTTAAATAGATTGCAGCATTTAAGGAAAGCAGTGTTTTTGTAGTTCTTTAATGCAGTTGGAGAAGAGGATTGTGGTTTGTTTGTTTGTTTTGTGGTACTAGGGATTGAACTCAGGACCCTGTACTTGCCAGGCAGGCACTTATTCTACTGAGCTACCTCCTCAGCCTTTGGGATTATGTTTGGAGACAGTTGGGAAACGTTTTAAACATGTAATGAGGAAAATTTTTTTCTTTAGTGCTCATACTCTAAGTTGGGTAGACCAGGGGCTTGTACGTGACTCTGCTGAGTGCTAGTTCTGTGACCCTGCGTGAGTGAACATGCCTTGTGCCTCAGTTTCCCCTCTCGTATAGTGGGTATAATGAGCTCTTTGTTTCCAAGACTCACTGTGAAGGGTTCATGAAACAACGTCTGTGGAGTGCTTGACACTGGGCTGTATGGCCGCTGGCTCGTCCCCAAGGGCAAGTGACCTCATGTTCCCTTGCTTGTTTACTGCTCTATAAAATTGAAGTAAGAATGTTTTATCAGCAGGGTGTGGTGGCACATACCTGAGTCCTAGCACTCTGGGAGGCTGAGGCAGGAGGATCAAAAGTTCCAATTCATCCTGGGCAATTTAGCCATTTAGTGCAACCTTGTCTTGGCAGACAAAAACAGCTGGGGATGTAGCTCAGTGCAGAGGTCCTTAGTTCAGTCCCCAGCACTGCAAGCAGAAAAGATCTGTCAAGTCTATGGAGGCGCTGCTTGGAGCCATATAGAGAACGTGCTCTGTGGAGGGGCCTTGAGGGTGAAAAGAGACATCCTCGTTAGGAGTGCATCTAACGTGCTGCAGGCCACGGGCCAGGAGTCTCCACTGGCAGGCTGTGCTTGGTTCCAGCTGCAGAACTTGGCAGAAGAGCAGGGCGTGCTGTGTGACATGACTTGGTCTTTGCTGAGGACTTGTACACTAGGAGTGAGGGCCATTTGGAGGCGTCTTGTACTTACCACTCCTGGCTTGGGGAGGAAGAGGTGCTTTCTTGGTAGGAAGAATCGAGGCAGGGTTTCTAGTGGGCACGGGACGAGTGTTGAGCCCTGAAGCACAGGCAAGAGGGCCACGAAAACAATTACACATGCTCGCTCGCAGTGCTCTGCCGTGGACTCACCTGACTCACATCTGCCGGGATGAGCACGTGCCTGAGCATGAAGGCTGGGCAAAGGGGTGTCAGCAGGTGTGGATTCGAGGTCACTGAGGCGGGGAGGGTCCAAGGAGGACCAATCAGTCGTCCAGATCAGAGACAAGAGACAGTAGCTACTTTGAGTCGCACTAAGACAGACTGATTCCAGAGATGTCAAGATAGTAGCATAGGCTTTAATGCTGTCAGGCCCTGGGTGCTTATGGGTGCTAGGCTGAAAAGTGGGTGGCATCTTCAGAGCTGGCCCCATTTCCGGTCTTGGGCAGCCGAGCTGAGGGTGGTGGTTCCAGTGAGAGGGAAACGTGGGAAGAGGAGTAAGCGCACAGATTTGGACATCTGATGTTCCAGTGGGGAGCACCTCGGGAACAGTCCTGTGGGCAGGCAGCTGCCTAGGTCTGTGCTCAGGACAGAGGTCGGAGCACAGTGGGGTGCTGGCAGTAGCTCTTACTCTGCACTTGGAAAGTGAGGTCCATTGTTGCATCCAGCTCTCAGTCGCTTCCGAGTCGGATGACCCCACATACAGCTGAGGTCCTTTCCAGCCCTGTTCAGCTGGCAAAAAGTTGAACCTGGGGCCTCTGGGTCTTTTAGCTTGCCTGGGACATGTGGGTAGGTGGGCAGATGGGAGAGGAGCTTGGATCAGCAAGCTTCAGAGGGAAGTAAATGAGCTATTTGTTGATCACTGTCACTTACGGGTGAGACATTAAGGAGGTGGGCCAGAAGCAGGACTGTTCTGCTCATTGCTAACCACTCCTCTAACTTTGCCCAGACTTATGCAGAGATGGACCCCACCACAGCAGCCCTGGAGAAGGAGCACGAGGCGGTAAGCAGGGGCAGGGGCCTGTGGGGAAGTTGCTCCGGCTTCCTGCCTTGCCCCTGCTGAGTGGCGCAGTGCCCCTGCTCCCACCCTGCCTGCAGATCACCAAGGTGAAGTACGTGGACAAGATCCACATTGGGAACTATGAGATCGACGCCTGGTACTTCTCGCCTTTCCCTGAGGACTACGGGAAGCAGCCCAAGCTCTGGCTGTGCGAGTACTGCCTCAAGTACATGAAGTACGAGAAGAGCTACCGCTTCCACTTGGTGAGGCTGGGAGGAGTGGGGGTTATAGAGGGGCTGAGGCTGGGAGAGGTGGGGGTATGGAGGGGCTGAGGCTGGGAGGGGGGGTACGGAGTGACTGAGGCTGGGAGGGGTGGGGCATACAGAGGGGCTGAGGCTGGGAGG